TAGCCAAATCAGCCTAGAAAAATAGGCCGAATTTTATTACATAAAGGTACACATGGTCAGCCATAAGTACTGGCTAACACTAATTTTCCCTTTCAAAGATTGCCGGTACGTACCTCTTGAGGTACTTGCCATTAATGGGATAGTCATGTAATCGGCCACTGAAATACTTCAGTCTATATGCTCCTCCCCTTAAGACTTGATGGACTAAGTATGGCCCTTCCCATTTTTGGGACCACTTCCCATATTTCCTATCGACTTTACCCACTGGCAAAACAACTTTCCAAACCAAATCTTCTTCAGCAAAAGACTTAGGTTTTACCCTCTTGTTGTAGATCCTCATCACCTTCTTCTTGTGAGCTATGACATGATCCAAGGCATCCCTTCTAACTTCATCCAAATCTTCCAATTTTACCAACATTGCTTGAGTATAATCAGCTAGAGTTAGATTATTTTGAAAAGCAACTCTGGCTGATTTAACCTTCATCTCCATAGGCAGAACAGCATCATGACCATAAGTTAACATGTATGGTGTAACTCCTGTGCCTGTTCTTTTTGAGTTCCTATAGGCCCATAAAGCTTCAGACAAAGTCTCATGCCACCTTCTTGGCTTATCTTTGATCATTTTTTCAATGATCTCTATTAAAATTTTGTTTGAAGATTCGGCCTGGCCATTTGCTTGAGCATAGTATGGCGTAGAGGCTGACATATGAATATTCATGTTATGGCCGAATTGTAGTACATCAGTTGCCCTAAATACTGTTGCATTGTCTGAAACAAATGTTTCTGGAATCCCAAATCTGTGGATGATGTTTTGTTCCATGAAATTAATCACTGTTTGCTGATCAACCGCTTTGCAAGCCTTGGCCTCAACCCATTTAGTAAAATAATCTGTGGCAACAATCACCCAGTGATGGCCTTCGCTTGATGGTGGATTAATTTTACCAATAAGGTCAAGGCCCCAACCTCTGAATGGCCAAAGTTTGATTATTGGCTGTAATTCTTTTGCTAGTACATTTTGAATCGGCTCGTGTCTTTGACAAGCTTGACAACCTTTTGAGTAATCTATGCAATCTTTTCTCATTCTCGGCCAATAATATCCATACCTGCGAATCAGCCATCTCATTTTAATCCCAGCTTGGTGAGCCCCACAGCTGCCCTCATGTTCCTCGGCCATAACCTGAAGTGATTCCTCCTTGCTTATGCATTGTAGTAGGAGCCCATCTTCTAACCCTTTTCTGTATAGATCCCCATTTAGAAGCACAAAGTTGATCGCTTTTCTTTTAATACTTCTATCAGCCTTGATGTTTGGATTTCGAAGAAACATTATAAATGGTATCCTCCAGTCATCGTCGGCCAAATCTTCTACATCAATTGTCCAAGTATCAAACAACATAGTATTTCTCAATTCGGCCTATGGCAAAGATCTTCGTGTTATCTTTATCAACTGATCTTCTATTTCGGCTGGTACTCTTATTCCATAGGCTGCTTGGGCCATGCTGTTGGCCTCCTTATTCTGCCCTCTCGGCCAGAACTTAAGTTGAACATTATCAAATTGATTAATTAATGAAGTGGCCAGAGAATGAAACGGCCTTAATTGCCAACTTAAGCACTTAAAATCTTCAGAAATTTGACTAAGGACTAAGTTTGAATCTCCCAAAATCTTTACATCTCTAACAGCCATTTCAATTAAAATCTCCAGGCCGATTATAAGCGCTTCATATTCGGCCTGATTACTTAAACATTTAAAATCTAAAAAGAAAGAGAATGAAGCCTTTCTGCCAGCTGGCGAAATAATAACAATACCTGCTCTTGCTCCATCAGCCATGCTTGATCCATCAAACATCAAGATCCAAGGAGTTAAGAATATAGCTGATGACTCCAATTCATCATAAACCCATGAATCAATATCAGTTGAAGGATGATCGGCCAAAAAATCAGCCAGAACCCTTCCTTTTACTGATTTTTGTGGGACGTAGATAAAATTGAATTCCATCAAAGCCAAAGCCCACTTACCTATTCGGCCAGTGATCAATGGCCTTGATAGCATATACTTGATCACGTTAGTCTGATAAAGAATGTAAACATCAACAGGCCGCATGTATACTCTCAACTTCATGGCCGAATAGTACAAAGATAAACAAAGCTTCTCAATTGAGGAATATCTGCATTCTAGATCAGTTAGTACTCTACTCAGGTAGTAGACAGCCTGCTCCTTTCCATGTTCATTGTCTTGTGCGAGCATACTACCAATTGATTCTTCTGCGGCCGATAAATAAAGCTTTAACGGCCACTTCTTTCTTGGAGGCATTACAACCGGGGGGTTTGCCAAATACTCTTTTATTTTGTCAAAGGCCTTTTGATGGGATTCGTCCCAATGAAATTTCTCATGTGACTTTAATTTCACTAAAGTCGAAAAGACATGCACTCGGCCAGCATGGTTAGAAATAAATCTTCTAAGAAAACCTACCTGGCCGAGGAACCTTTGCACTTGTTTTTTGTTGGCTGGGGCCCTAACATTTATAATAGCTTTGACCTTGTTCTGATCAACTTCAATACCTCGTTTGTGTACCAAGAACCCCAAGAAATTCCCGGCTGAAACTCCAAATGCACACTTCAATGGGTTCATTTTCAATTTGTGAATCCTCATCCTTTCAAAGGCCCTTTTCAAGTGTTCCAAATGCTGTCTCTTGGCCGATGATTTCACAACTACATCATCTATATAAATTTCCATGAATCGGCCAATCATATCATGAAAGATAGAATTCATTGCCCTTTGATAAGTAGCCCCAACATTTTTTAGGCCAAATGGCATCACAATCCACTCAAAAGTACCAATTGACCCAGGACATCTAAAAGCCGTTTTATGAACATCTTCCTCGGCTAAATAGATTTGATTATAACCTGAATGGCTATCCATAAAAGACAATATTTCATGCTTAGCGGCCGAATCAATAAGTTGATCGGCCACAGGCATTGGATATTCATCTTTTGGAGTGGCATTATTTAAATTGCGAAAATCCACACAAACTCTAAGTTTGCCATTCTTCTTCATTACCGGAACAACATTAGACAGCCATTCAGCATACCTAACTGTTCGAATAAATCCTGCCTTAAGAAGTCTCTCAATTTCTTCTTTAATTTTGAGCATTACTTCCGAAGACATCCTTCTTGGTGGTTGTTTATATGGCTGAAAATCTTTCTTGATAGGTAATCTATGTTCTACCAATTTTCTAGACAGGCCAGGCATCTCTTCATAACTCCAAGCAAAGGAATCCTTATATTCATATAATAATTTAATCAAATCGGCCTGGAATTTAGGCTCAAGCAAAGCACTAACAAATAATGGCCGATTATTTTTTTTAGTACCAACATTTATTTCCAATAAAGGATTTTGCACCTCTGCTTTATTATCTTCCATCCTGGAAGGGGCTGACTCCAAATCTTCAAGTTGGATTGCATCCAGCTTTTCGAAACCTTCTTCAATTATATCGGCCGTGCTGGCCGATACCTCTTCATATAGCTGTTCTTCTCTGGCCAATCTCTTCTCAGCCAGATATGCTTTCAGTCTTATGCAAGCGGCCCTGAAAGCTTGCCGCTTCTTTTCTTCATTGGTTTTGTGATCCATCAGTAACATCTTCAATGTCCTTGATGGTCAACCTGAAAATATCAATTTTCGGCCGAGCTGCTTCTGACAATAATTCTTTAATATCAGCATTAATTAAATTCTTCTTCATTGTTGCAGCTGCTGGTCGTCCCATCCTGTTAATGCCAACAAATTTGATAGGTACAACAGTTTCATCATAAAGTGCAGCCTCAGCCAAATACACCCTAGCTATAAAGGGTTTGTTATCGGCCTCAACAATTTTTACCTCATTTCCATCCCAAAAAATCAACATTTGATGCAAGGTTGATGGGATGCACATGTTAGGATGAATCCAATCTCGGCCTAAAAGGAGATTATAGGCCGCAGTTGAATCAATGATAAAGAAAGCCATAAAGGATGTCTTACCACCAATAGTAATTTCCAAAGGTAGAATACCTTTGGTGTTACTAGATCCTCCATTAAAACCACTGATGGCCACGTCGGTTGGAACTACATCGTCCATGGTTTTACCCAATTTCTTCAAAGTAGTTGCTGGAATGACATTCACCACCGAACCATTGTCAACCAAAACCCTATTGATTGGCTGACCCTCAACCCATACTTTAACATACAACGGCCTCAACTGCTGTGTCATGGACAAAGGTGGTTTTTCGAAAATGATTTTATCGGCCTTAGATGGCTGATCCTGAGAGATCAATCCTATCCCGGCCGATGAACTTGTCGAATCGTTCTTAATTTCTGAAGATTCAGCCTTTTCCTCCTGCTTGGCTGACTCAACATCCCTGTTCATCGTTGGTTCTATCCTTGCTTCAAACACAGAAGGCAAAACAAATACCATGTTACAATTTACCTTATCCGGGAGAGAACCAAAACGAATTCTGTACTTGGCCGCATGCTTTGGATCCTGGTCGGGCTGATCATCTTTTTCTTCATAAAAACATGCCTTATTCTCAAAGGATATAGCGACCTCCATGTCTTCAGCCACCACTGGTTCATTTTTCCTTTCTAGTTGATCATGGTCGATCTTGTCTTCTTTCCTTTTGAGTTCTACATTTTTCCTTTGCATCCTCCTTTTTTGGGTACGTGTAGGAGGTTGCTTAGGAAACTTTGGGTGACTTACTCGAGTCCATCTGCCATGGTCAACCAAAGGAGGTCTAACCGTTCTTACACGGCTAGATTCTTCTCCTTTTTGAACCCATATTTCTGACTGAATTGTTGGTTTCCTTTTGAAACTAGGATAAAAATGTTGTTCTGGCAGGACTCTATCGGCCACCGATGACCGAATGATTCTCACTGCCCTCGGCCCATTTTCTCTAAATATTGATCGATTGATTTCTTCGTGATTCTGTCTAGGCTGATGGCCTAACCTTTCATGGACACTGCGCTTTCTGGTTGATTAGAAATAGCCCCTCTTGTCTGAGTCATTCCTTCGGCCTTTGCAATTTGGACAACAACCATGGTTGATGAGGGCAATTTGAGCTTCTCTTAACTGAATTTCCAAGTCCTTAACTTTCTGCTCATCATTACTGGCCGATGAACTACCAAGAACTTTTGGTAATCTTTCTAGTCTACCATTATCAGCGGCTTTTTCAGTTGCCAGGCTGATTACATTGGTACTGACAATATTAGGAAATGGATCGCCATCGACCCCCATTACATCTGGCTTCTTTTCAGAGAATTTCAATACACCTTCATCGATAGATTTCTGCAATACATTTCTAAATACATAACAATTGTTAGTAGTATGATTCCATGAATTATGAAATTTGCAGAACTCTCTTCCTTTTAAATCATTGGTCGATGGTATATTGTGTCCTTTTGGCAAAACGATTTGTTTGTCGGCTAACAAATGATCAAAAATTTGTTCTGTTTTGGCCAGATCAAACGTATAAACCTTACCAGTATCAGCCGTACCCTTCCTGGCCGATGAAGTCGATGGCTGAGTACCACTGGTGGATACATTTGGTTTTGTTAAAGCGTCACATACATAAGGCTTCTTTAGAATGACTTCGGCTAAATTAGCTTCAAAATCTTCCTCTTCAACCACATCAGTTGAATAAACTTCATAGTTGGGGTCCCTATAGTACGTACCTTTAGAGGAATTTTTTCCTTCTTTCTCCTCTTTGAGAACCAACTCATACCTGGTAGCTTTCTCGGCCAGGTCATACATGTCACGAAATGGAACTCCTTCAAACCTCTTCCGAAGTTCAAAATCAAGGCCGTTCAAAGCCAAACGAATGTACTCCTGTTCTGGAAGAGGTACACGACATCTTAATCTTGCTCTCCTGAATCTTGCAATGAATGTCTCGACCGATTCACTAGGCAATTGACTTAGCCTGGATAAATCGACCAGAGTAGGTTCTGTCTCCGTACGGTAGAACTGATTGTGGAATAATTCCTCCATCTGTGGCCAATTAAAAATAGAGTTAGGAGGTAGACGAATATACCATGAAAAAGCTGCCCCTGTCAAAGAGTTAGGAAAAAGTCTCAATTTCAACCACTGGCTAACACTGGCCTCTCCACATTGAACCGTGAATCGGCCAATGTGTTCCACGGTCGATTGATTCCCCTCTCCACTAAAGGTTACAAAGTCAGGGACTTTATATCCTCTAGGGAACTTAACTTGGTCTACCACTTCTGGATAAGGAGTTCTATAAATTGGTCGGCCGGCACCTCTAAGTTCCAGGCCATATTCTTCTGTGAGTAAATCAGCTAATTGTTTTCTATCTAACATGACTTGAGGTGGTTGATTTAATATCGGTGGTACCTGATTAAAAACTGGCGGCTGATTAGCCGCTGGTTGATAGCAATTCGGCCAATCATGTGGCTGATTAGCCATATTCTGCCCCCCGAGCCCTACCTGTGGCGGCACATGAGTATATAGTGGGTTCGGTGGCCTCCACCTGATCTGATTGCCCCTCGAGTTCAAAGGCATCTGAGGAGGGTTTGGTGGAATTACCTGTGGCTGCGAACCTACTACTGGTGGCTGATTAGATCTGCTAACGTAGGCTGAGGATAGCTTTCTGCCCAGGTGAGTAGCGTATGAACCGGCTAACTTGATGTTGCACCTGGTTGGAGTGTCACTACTGGCGGCCATGGCTGTGATGTTTCAGCGGCCCTCTCTGGCCGAGCAGCTTGTGATAGATTCGGCTGAGAAGCCGATTCCTGATTGTTGGAGCTGCTAGCTTGAGTCGGCTTGTTCAAAATAAAGGCTGAGAGTTGGGACATATTTTCATACAAGTCGTTGTAGCGTGCTCCCATCCTTCCTATTGCATCTACCAAGGAGCTAACCTGTGCTTGAAGTACGGCTAACTCATTAGTAGGACCTGCTGCAGAGTTCTCAGCCTGTACTGGCTGATCGCATTCCTCCAAATCTTCATCAGTAGCCACGGCCTAAGAATTTTTTGTGGGCCGCGGCATATTTGCCTCTTTTATAACACTCTAGTAGTGGTCCCACCGGGCGTGCCAAAACGTGTTCGCGCGGTTTTTGTTCCCTACGCCGGTCGATGGACTCTTCGCGGGCGTACCAGAGTATTTGTACAAAATACCTAAAATATGTAATTGAACACCAGCCTATCCCTTTTTCCGATAGCTGACTCTCAGGCGATTGTGTGGGAGAGAGACTAGTAAGAACTCCCAGCAAGGTTCTTTTATGCCTTGTTTGTAGCAAGGACTTTTTAGAGTGTCTAAAGAAATGCAACGGCTGATGAATGTTTGAATGGATGGAATGGCCGAGTGAAGACAGGCGGCAAGAACTTAATCGATCACCGGCCGAACGTGATGGCGAGAACTTAATCAATCGCCATCAGTCAAACACAATGGCAAGAATTTAATCGATCGCCACTGAAACGTGATAGCAAGAATTTAATCAATTGCCATCAGCCAAGTAATGACAAGAATTTAATCAATTGTCACTACGATTCAATGGCAAGAATTTAATCAATTACCATTGAATTGAAAGCCTAACTAAAATTGCGTAATTAAAATTGGCATAATTGAAATTGAAAGAAAGTAAATGGCTGAATCGAAATAGTTGACGAGGATCTAATCAATTGCCATTAAATTGAAATAAAGAAATTGATAGGAAAATGACGTAGAGTCAATTGAAAACATTTTTAGTTGAAATGCATGTTTTGTGGTGGTGCTGGACGAATTGGAAATGGAATACAATACTTCTATTTATAGAAGTTCTATCTCAACTTATTTTCCTAATTAATTGCTAGAAAATCTCTTTGCTCCTTGATTTTCTTCACTTTATTACTCAAACTAAACCACGTTCCAGTAGTCTTTTGCGTCTCTTCTCTTCTTGCTTCAATAGGAAAGTCCTTGCTGAAATCTCTCCTTGATCCAGTCAAATGCAAGTTGTCGAGAAATATGCTGAAAAATTGCTGGAGAGTTGCTAACTTTTAGCAACTCCTTTCCTTAAGTTAGGCTGAAACCTTCCCTTAAATGGCTGGAAGACCATTCATAACTTTTGCCCAAATTATCCCTCACGTGACGGCCTCTCCTTTGAATTCCTTATTCCTTTGCAACGAAATTCCTATTTCATAGGAATCTCATTCTAACTAAATCTCTTCTATCCAAACTGAAATAATATATTTGAATTAACTCAAATATTAATTACCAAATTTCAGCAACAACCTTATTGGATAAGGTGGCTAAATAACAAGATTTTCTCCTCTTGTTTCTCAATTGGCCGACTTTTCTTGAAACCATACTAAATAAGTGTCGGCCCATCGCTGGTCCACGTCACCACTGAGGTGGCTGCCAAGTTTTGGTGCCAACAGTTTGTTCTCAGGATCTGGTTTGTTGTGAAAAAAATTATGCTCGACCTTTGTAGTGCAGCATTTCCCAGGGAGAAAGATGAATATGATACTGTCTAAACATGGTAAAGTGGAGGGAAAGAGGGATGAGAGAGGCTTTAGGGATAATTAGATAAGGGGTTATTGTTTTTTCGTTTATGAAAAGTTGAAAATGATTGCAAGAAACCGCTATTGAAGCTTGAATAGCACCCTACCCCTCACCCATCCCACTTCCCATATAACTCAGCGTTAAGGTTATATAATGGCAATTGTTTGCATTATGTCTTGTTCAACAGAGGATTTAGATAGTGGTTATTTTTTACTTTTCATAATTTTATGACAATATTGTATTTGTGAACATTCCCAATGGTTTGTTGAAGCCTCATCTCATGCAGATGCTATACATTGGCTTCCAAATACTAATAATCCTAGAAAATTCCCGACTCATCTACAGCCTCTCTAACATAATCTTCAAACTCTATTTAGCTTTGTACGCCCCAGTTATTACTACACTCTACAAATTTCTACGTACTTCATCACATTATAAGTAGTCTTCTCAGCTGAAGATATAAAGAAACACATTTACAATATCGAGACACACATTGTTACGTCACTCATTAGCAATCTGTTATTCTCACCCTTGTAGCTTCCTATTAGAGTTTCTTAGTTACAAATGACACCTCCCTCTATTTATAAAGAAATCCCAGCTAATTGTTTAAACATTTCCTACACTCTAAAATATAATCCTAGAAAATTTTCAACTCATCTAAAATATTCTCTATCACTGGATAAATATCTCTAAACTCTCTAACATAGTCTTCAAACTACTCATCTAAAATATTCTCTACACTCTATAAATATGTACAACCTCTCTCGTTTTAAGTCCGAATTGGTCCGTTCTTGAGTCTAAATTGACCGCGTCGAAATGAGCTTTCCAATGGTACCAATTAGAGCTTCAGATTCCATTTGTAACTCAAGTTATTCATGTTTTAGTGAATACTCATCTAAAATATTCTCTACACTCTATAAATATCTACAACCTCTCTAACGAGCTATTAAAGAAAAATAATAAGAAACGGAAAAATAGGGGAAAAAACAAAACACTTCTTCAAAAGACTTCCTTTGACTTTTGAGTTAAAGGTATAGTCTCTAATAAAATTGTTCGATGTTCTGTAGTAACAAAAACAGACATATAAGGGGACCCTTCCCCATGCTCAACTTATTTTTAGTGTGATTTTTTTTTTTCTTTTAATGTTATTTGATATATCGTATAGCTAATAAATCTTTGCATGTGTCTGGTTCAATATGCAACCATTCTTTCTTTTCTTATATATTTTTAAAAAAATTGTTCTCTAATGGTGTAGTACACCCCTAAATATTTGAAGGCTTCTTAATTGCTACATTAACTCCATAGTTTAGGAAAGAAGCCAGCCTGTCAATAATCAGTATTTTCGTCCATTAAATATTTTTTTAAAATCTTGTTATGAAAGTGGATTGTTTTTTAATGAAATCATGCAGTGTTATCAAAGGTTCAAGGAGGCTAGGCACAAAGCGAGATGTATGTGTTTGCCTGCGCAGTCGCGCTCTTAACGATACTGATATCAATAGTGATCTCTTGAGCATAAGAAGGCTTTTTTTGTAGCATTTTTTTTTTTTTTTAATTGTTGGAGGCATCACGGCCTTACAATGGCCCATTTACCCAAAAACTTAAGCTGATGGGTAGTGCTGCATATCCATCCATTTATACCCTTTTTATTTTCAATTCGGATCAGACGTGAGACAAATACCTTTTATAACATTTTTTCCCATCCGAACTCGCAACGCCCTCATTGGGGTCAAACCACCTTGCCTACTTGGGTGGCTCATCCGGATGCCTTCCAGGCCGAATTAAGGATTGGGTCTAACTTTGATACCAATTGTAATTAGTGGGCGTTTGCTCATTTATCCAAAAGTTTGTTTTTGGATAATGCTACTGAAGATGTAAGAAATTCATTCTCCTTTCTCTCTCTAGAATTCTTACACTTCAATAGAAAACAAACTCCAAAAAAATCCCCCCCTTATCCACTCGTAATGGTCTATTTATAGACCATTACAAATACTCTAACCAACTTATTACATAGGGCTCCTACTCAAGGGTTTTCTTCCTTTTGGGCCTGACTTTCCAATGGACTTGGTCTTCTTCAATGGATCCTTCAAGCTCGGCCCATTTCGTGGTGCCTTTGTATGGGCCATACTTCAATTGTTTGACCCGATCCCATGCCAACGAGCTATAACTGGCCCATGCCACTTTTTGCATCCTCAACTGCCCCCATAATTACTCCCTATTGATTAGGGGGTAATTATTAGAGGTTGCTAATCATGACCTGACGGCTCGAGAAGGTCGCATGGGAGAATGGACGGTTAGATTTAGGGGTCGGCGCTTCGAGATTCAAAAAACTCCTCGCTTTCCTGACTCCTCGGCCCTCGGGCCCACCTTGTCTTTATAATCTCACTTTCTGTTGCTTGAATCTTCTCCGGCAATTTCTTACAAAAGCTCCTCTTTCCAGCGACCTTGCAGTACTCTTTGACGTTCTCACTCTCTGAGGTTAGTTTCATTTGCCTTTTTCTTTCGGAAGACCTCTTTCTCTTGCTTAAAATCTTCATTCATTCTCACCATGACTGTAGATCTAGATGTTCTTCGCATGAAACTTCACCTCCCTAACGATATACAAATTAGAAATTGCCTTACAGAGGTGAATATTAGAACCGGTGCTGGCCTTCTTCCTGGCGATGTTCTGTTTTCACACCTTCATCTTAACCTTCTTAGGTTCCCTTTGCATCTCTTCTTTTGCTACATTTTTAATAAACTGAAACTTTCCCCTTTGCAAGTAAACCCAAATTTCCTTAGGATTTTATTTGTTATGCTGCTTCTGATCCGTGACAGAGGTCTAGATCTGGACCTCGTAGATCTTCTCCTTTGTTACAAGGTTAGCAAAATCAGAACTGATGAACCGTTTTACCACTTTTACCCTATTGAGAAGAGGTCCACCTGCACAGACAAGATCAAATCCGAGAAGGGTTGGAGGAAAAATATAATTGGGGTTAGGGGAGCCTGGTTTTCTCTAGCTGCAGAGGATTTCCCTATCCCGAGCGCTTTTAGAGAGTGCTCTGTCTCTTCTTACAAAAAATACAAAACCCATAAGAGTGACTGTCCTTGCGAGATTTGCATTCCTCGTTTTTGTACTTTCTTGTGCCGTTCCTTAGGCATTCCTTGTGATGATTTGAGCTACGGTGTGTGCAGAGATAGGGATAACTA